AGTTCTGCCGTTAGTCGCGGGGGGTATTTTTGTTAATAGAATTAACTTCGTGTGTTTTTTTGAACGGATAGATGGACGGAGTGAATTTTTTTGAACGGATAGATGGACGGAGGGTATTTATAAACCATTTAGCAAACGATAGGGCTAGTTTTGGCCCTTTTCCGTTTTAAAAAAAAAATATAATTATGTAAAATTGTTTACGAAACCTAAGTTTGGAGAGCTTGTGTTTCTTACGGGAAATAGAGGGCTAGCCAATTTTAAGACTAGTAATCGAAAAATAGCCAGTGTTTGCTAAATCATTAAAAAATAGCCATTATTTTAGCTGAAATACAAAAAGTTCCAGCATAATATGCTTGCTTATTGAACTCATGCGTATAAATTTTAGCATATTATGTTGGAACTCTAGCACATTATGCTAGAATCTCATAAAATTCGAACTCCAGCATTATTATATTGAGATTTTTTTCGGATTTTTAAGTGTATTTTTGTTTGAATTTTATCTTTAAATGAAAAATAATTAAATTTCAATTACTTTTAAAACTATGACGATTTTTTAATTATCAATTTTAAATCAGGCTATTTCTATTTTTCCCCTGTTTCTTACTAGCTGATGTTGGTGAATAAAACGCGAAATAAGAATTTAGATATTATGAGTTACTGGTTGAACGAAACAAAGATTTAAGTGTATGATGAGATTAATTTTCGGTCTTGACTCTTGTGTGTCCTTTAAGATTTAATCTTAAAAAAGGAATAAAACAAAAATGTAGATGTTTAATCATAACATCATGATGATCAGATTTTGGTAATTAACGGAGTACTTCTAAAAGGAATACTGTCCTCCCCTCCTTTACCTTTTTAGATCTTTCTAAGTCTGAAATATCAAGGAGCAATTATTTCATACCATTTGATGCCAAGGGTTGTGACTTTGTGATATTATATTTTTCCCTTTTTATTTTGGACGATCCAAATTTGCTGCCTTTTCAAACAATGCCCATCTTTATATTTTGTTGAACTTCTCCTCTCTTGCAAGTTCGTAGTCAATCATATTTTCATAAATTTCAAACAGTTTTTCCCTAAAAAACTTAATTGTGAGGGTATTCTTGTCCATTTGACATTGAAACTAATATAACCATTTAAGTGTCGAAATACTTGTAAATTTATGATTTACAAAAATTATAATATGACTATGATCTAAATTCTTAACTACTCCATATATACTTTTACAAATAAGATCTTACTCACTTTGTTCCAATTTTTGTGAACCTGTTTGACTGGGCATGGAGTTTAAGAAAAAATGAATACTTTTTGAATTTGTAGTCTTAAACAAGTCAAAAAAGGGCCCAAAGTATTTGTGTGGTTATAAAAGCTTCTCATTAAGGATAGAATTGTAAGTTTAAGCTAAATTGTTTTTAAATTTAGAAAGGGATAATTTTGTTTGGAATGGACCAAAAAAGAAACAGGTTCCAATAAACTGGAACAGTGGGAGTAATTATTTCAAATATAATGTAAGTGGTTATAAGGGACCAGGTTATTATACCTAACATATTTTTCACGATTTATCTAAAAAATAAAATCATGCCAACTTGAAAAGGATATTTAAAAATTTAAAATAAAAAAATAAAAGTTCCCAGAATAAAAATTTGAACATAGTAGTAATAAAGTAAATCCATTCTCACACTTCAATAAATACATCACGAGAAGAGACATGTTTATACATACACACATAATTCCCAACCCAAGATGTGGTTCAACGTCTAAGGGTATATTTGTAAACCCACACGTATGAATATGATTTACTAGTAAGTAGAAAGCATGGATGTGCAATAGATAAAAGCACAAGTTGGTATTAAATGGCGAAACTAGCCTCAGTAAAATTACTGAAAGAGTAGTCGCATCGTTTGATAGTCATTTGTTAAATGGATACATAGATATAGATGGCGTGTCTCTCAAGCCCGGCATAAGCGCCAGTACCTCTGCGTGTGCAAGAGAGAGAGAGAGAGACTGACATTAGACAGAGACAGAGACAAACAAAAGAGAGAAGAGAAGAGGGGACTGTATCTATATGTATGTATCTATCTTTATAGTCTTTGTTTACAAAAAGCAGCTCATATATCCAACTAACTCCACTTTCCATTTTTCACTACAATTTTGTGACTGCTCTCTACTCCCTTCTCTCTCTGTAAGCCTTCTCCGTTCTCTACTCATCCACACTCCTTTTTTCTGCTTCTGCATTTCATCCCTGTGTTTTTGTGTGTGTTGATTTGTTGTAGATACATTGGAATATAAATCAGAAATTTTTTTTACTTGGGGTTTTCTAGTCTTGTTGAGTTTTTGAAATGGAAGGAAAAGAACCACTAGAAATATAGAAAAATAAGGCTTCCCGTAAGTACATTGTCGCAAGATGGGCTAAGTGGTAAAAATGGAGGAGCTTTTTGTAGTTTCTTTTTTCACTTAACTTCTCTCATTATTAACAATCCGTTTTCTGCATTCTTGGTGTTTATTGAGCTAGTCTATTTTGACTTATAAGTATCTCTGTGTAGTGTTTTTTTTTTCAGTGCAAAAATTGGAAAGTTGAAGAAAATGAGTGGGGATCAACACATGGATATGCATTACATGAATAATATGGGGTTTCCTTACAATGTTCCAGAGACTTTCACAGGCTTTTTGGATGGTGTTTCACAGACCCCTATGCATTATCATAATAACCCTCTACACATTCAAGATCAGGTAATTTTTTTTAACTTTCTGTGTAGCAGTTGATTTTATACTGTTTCAGCTTATAAATTGTGAAAAAGGGAGTAAAGTAGCAGTAGAATAGCCCCCAATTCAACATATACACTATAATATGCATATTTAGGCTTTTAGTGCTGGGAATAATAATCTGTTCATGTTCACTTCCTTTAATGGACTCTTAGGCTGTGTGACTAACCATTTGTTCTTGACTTTATTGTGACAAAAAGTAAGTTTGAAACTTTACTGAAACAAAGGGTAAAGTTTGGTGACAATCTGTGAAATTAATCCATTCTTGTTAGTTTATCTCAAAAATTTTTTGGAGCTATTTGAATGCTGACATTAAACTTCTGAATCTTATGTCCAGGAAAATGCATACTGGTCTATGAATATGAGTTATTGTAAATATGAGTACTCCAATCTTGAGAGTACTTCTTACCATTCTTATGAGACTGGCAGCAACCACCATGTATCAAGACCGGATCTCTCAGAGAGGCCTTGGGAGTATCCTATACCTATAAATGTCGGCGAAGGTGTATTGACTGATGTAATATACGAGGAAAATACAGTCTCTGGTGAGGATGCTGGCACGGAGGAATGTGAGTCTCCACCTCTTTTATCTGAAAATTTAACACTTAGTCTATATGCATTTAGGTTTTTCTTTCCCTAACTGGCGGCATTAGATGCAAAATTACTCAATTTGCCTTTAATAGTAGTAGTTTTTTTTACCTTTACAATTAGTCGGCACTAAAATTATTATCACCTTCTTTATACTTTTTTTCCTTTCTCTTTGTGAGATAGGTCTAGGACCATGAATTTGCTTTAGTGGTCAAGTTTCATACAGCCCTTCTTTTTACCAGTAAATGATATTTTGTAGAACCTATTACTTTTTTGTTGAAGTTTCAGTATGTCATATAAACGGATACTTCTGCAAGTTATGTGTTACTATTTAAATACTTATAACATACTGCGATTTTACAGAGTGTAACATATATTTCACAATTCATCAGGTGATCTACCCCATCAAGATGATTCGAACCACCAGGTATATTGCTTGTTTCCAATAGAAGAGTTTGCTCCACTCTTTCATTGTGCTTTTGGAAACTATATGGATTTTGATAACTCAATTTCACTTTTTTTTTGGGGGTTTAAAATGCTGCGGTTGTTGTCATTTCTCACTACCTGTCTCTAATTTTCTGAACTGCTGGATAAAATGTTTTTTAGAATAGGGGATGTCATTCCGTTAATTTTATCATGTCCTGTATACATACTGATTATGCTAAACACTTATGTGGCAAACATGAAGTCAAGTTGTTGTGCATTCCCCTGCATTACCCTACATAAATCAACCAAAAAGATGGAGGCAGTGTTTGTCATAAAAAATCAGTCTTTGGCCTTTTGCTTTCTCTCAGCCTTCCTCTTGAACCTTGCGAATATATAAAAAAGAAAGACAGACAGACAATGGAAACTTTGCTAGAAGACCAATATATGGATCTCCTAATTCACCCACTCTGCTAATGAACTATCTCACTAATTTTTGTCAGCTTCTTAAGCAGTTGAAATTTAAATACCATGTTTCTCTGGTTCTTCAAATGTGTTACGTGTAATAGTTGCCATCATCTTGAACTTGTTTAAGAGTGGCTAGATTAACATGCTATTGGCTTTTAGCATGCTAATTTCACCTTTCCTTTTTGTTAACATGTGCAGGATATTTTGGAAGATGATATTGACCCTGATAACATGACCTATGAGGTATGTAACCCAGTCACGCCCATCTCCTCTAACTTGTTTGATTTTATCTTTTGTTATGTTTGTGAAATGAGCTTGATTTGCAGTTCATTGTAGGGTTTTACAATCTATCTAATATCTATACAGTCTTTTGAATACCTTGTCCAAGTTTTATTTTTATTTGATAAGAAGAACTGCTCGCTGGAGTGAGAAGGCTTATAACAGAAAGCTGCAGTTACCATACTGTGACGCTGCCTCATAATGTCAAATTATTGAAGGATGGCAAAGTTTTGTCTCTCATACTTATGCATAAAGCTAATCCAAGAGTCCAAGGCAAATTACAGGGAAAACCTTTTTCCTCTAGGAGCGACGGAGTCATATCTTTTAAGTTAGACTTAATATCTGAAATTAAAGAGTTACTGAAACTCATTCCTCTATCTAGAGTTTCTATTTACCGATCACATTTAAAGAGCAAGAGTTGAAGTGCTAAGATAAGCTGTCCATTGTTGGGATTGGCACCTATAAAGTGAACCTACACCTATTGCAGGTGTTGTGTGGTTAAAGATGATCGCTACTAAGAATGAGCACTATCACAGTGCCCTCTTCGGCTCCTAAAGGAAGGTTATGGTGCTTCAGATATGGTTTGTGGTACGGGTGGTAGCGTTATTTTAGGGACCACTTGTTCATGGTTGTGCTGATTGCTTGTAAACTATCTGTAGTTATCGTTTTGAAGATATATTTTCAATTACTTAAATGTCTGTCTTAGGATGGAATAAGTTGACAGAAAAAAGGAACAATGGGAATATCTTCTATGTCATTTAATTATCTTCTGCATGTCTGTCTTATTTATCATTTAAATCTTTTTAATTTCAGTGGATTTCTTTTTCTTACGTATAGTAAAATAAAGTTGTGTACAGAGTGAGGTAAGCTAATCAGACTCATCGCCTAGCTTAATAACCAGCTTGCCGAATGTAAATCCTCCACTCCTTCCCTAAACAAAAGTAAAGAAGGAACATATGGGAGAGACCGAGAGAAGAAAGGACCTGCAGGAAAAAAGAGATATGCACAGAACAAAAGAGCTGTTAATTCTCATAATGAAGCTATTCAGCAGCCACACTAATATATCTTCCTGTTATGACTTGTTAATCAGCTGAAAGTCCACAAGTATGGGAATGGTAGTTCCTACTTTTTTTTGACTGACTAACTTCTTCACTTTGATCCAAGAACAATACCCGTCTTTCAGAGTGTCTACCTTCATTTTATCCAACAAAAGAAAAAAAAAAAATCTTCTTCCTGATAACAAATGTTGACTTTAATGTACTACTCCTTCCGTTTCATATTAGATGAGGTAGTTTGACTCGGCACGAAGTTTAAGAAAAAAGAAGAATACTTTTGAAACTTGTGGTCTTAAAAGCTTAAGGGGTAAAAGGTTTGTGGGGTCATACCATTTGTGTGGCTATAAAAGCTTCTCATTAAGGGTAAATGGGTAAAATGAAGAGTTTAAAGTTGAATTATTTCCAAATTTAGAAAAATATCATTTGTTTTGGAACAGACTAAAAAGGAAAGTACCTCATCTAATATGAAACGGAGGGAGTATCTTATACTTGAACGCAATATTGAAATTACATCTGTGTTTTTTGTTATCTATGGCTGCAAAGGTTGAAGAAAGCTGCTGAATGGTAGTCTGAGGTGCAACGTACAGCATTATACTTTTGATATTAATTGGCTTAAAAATTTATGTTTTAATCCTTGATCTTCGTTGATGATATGGATCTCATTATTCAGTCACCCATTATGTGAAACTAATGAGTATTCATGCAAATTTCTGCCAACTCCTTCTCCTTAAGCACTGAAATCCTAATATTTGTTCATTTCCTTGTTCTTAGGATGTGTGCTGTATAACTGGTCGCATCATCTTTACTTGTGAATAGCTGAACCAATTTCATAGATTAGTTTTCTCCTGATTCTTTTACTAAATTTCTGCTTTACTGTTGCAGGAGTTACTTGATTTAGGTGAAACAGTTGGAACTCAAAGTCGAGGACTTTCCGAGGAGCTTATTAATTTACTTCCAACAACCAAATACAAGTCTAACAGCATCTTTTCCAGGAAAAAATCAGAAGAGAGGTAATTTTTACACCAGCACCTTTTTGGACCATTGATCGTAAAAGGTGAAATTTTCCTTTTTGTAGTAACCTTTCACTGTAAATTGAATGCTTTCATCAAATGTGACATCTTATTTTAGCTACATATTAGAAAAGATCATTACTTCCTTGCCGTCTCAAGAGAGATGGCTAGCAGTACAGGCACAAAGAGTAGATAGTTTTTAGCTGCTGTAAAGCATTGATATAAGATAATTGTTTGGGGTTTGAGCTAAGATTTTGTTTTCCTCCTACATTTTCCCTTATATAACACAGCAAAACTGTATCTAAGTGAGGGACTGAATTTATTTAAGTAATACTTTTGAGCTGATCCTTGATTAATAATCTGCCTTCCACTTCACCTCGCCTCCTCAAATGTTAAAAAGAGTATACAGAGGAGAACTCCAAAAAACAATGAAGGGAAAAGTTTGGAAGAAGTGATATCATTTTAATTGCATAGCTTTGCAGATTGTTTGTTTTGTCACTCCAATTGTTTGAGTGTGCCATAGAAAGTAGGTCCACTTGAACCTCAGAAACTAGTCTGGCCTCTGGGAAGATTATCACCTTGATGGATTAATGATAGTCCAACAAATGAGTTCGACAAGGAAACATCATATAAGGTTCAAAATTTAAGTTATTTGGTAACTTAATCCGACTAGCTTAGTGTCTATATTGTGCCAAAACAGAGGGCTCTACTTGGGGTTTTTAGTATAACCATGCCTCAAAATTCCCATTTGACCTCAGTACTTGTGTAAAAATATTCAGTTTTGCGATCACTAGGGCACATCTTACATGGATTTCAGTTGCTCCATAAATTCTCTGTCAAAGGATGTTATGTTACCTTCATAAATTTTCTGCTGACCATATGTTAGAGTTCTTACCTTCATTTGGTTGATGAAATCCTTTTTCTTTCACCTCAAAGAATAAATGATCTTTTTTGCATGCAAGCTAGATGTGTCATCTGTCAAATGAGGTACAGACGAGGGGATCGGCAAATAAATTTGCCATGCAAGCACATGTACCACACCGAATGCGGCTCCAAATGGCTAAGCATCAATAAGGTATGACAGTAATAACTATTCTGGCCTCTATGTATCAGAAGTTTACATTGCATTCTCTGAGATCTAACACTAAACTCACTTCGATTTGTCAGACATGCCCCATTTGCAACAAAGAGGTACTCCTTGAAGAATGAAGGCATTATGTTATAAAATGGTCCATATAGGGTTCAGTTTTAGCAGATTTGCTTCGACGGATTTACTGCCGATTTGGTTCAATGGCTTTACTATCTTCTTCCACTGCCCACTAACGTAGAGTAACATCAAAACTTTTAATCACTTTTCTTAGATCATGCTTAAAACGCAGGAAAAAGTAACTAAATAGACGCTCATATGTTCACAGCCTTATGTCTTTTTAGGGAAAGTCTGAATATAGAAGTCTTCTTCCTTTTCTTTTTTGAGCTATATAACGAGCTCGTAACTAATTCCTCTATTCTTTCTCCATTGTGCTGTGTGTACTTTTACAGTTGTTAAGTTGCTTTGAACAACTTTCTTATCCAGGCGAATGCAACTCCTTGTACTTTTAAATATGGTTCAAGATTTAATTTTTATTAAAATTCTGGTGGATTGTCACACACACACATACACATACACATATTCTACTGTTCTTACCAAGTGAATTAGCTTTCTCTTAAGCACATGAAATCTTTAGAAGTTCTATTCCAAATCTAGCCACCTGTCAAGCCCTATTACACAATGTGTGTTGGGTATAAATAGTAGGGATTGAAGGAGTAAAAATTAAATGTTAGTAAGGTTAAGGGTCAAATTTCTCATTGGAACTATGTATATGCAAAGGAGAAAATATATCACTCTTCAATTTGAGAAGTATCAAATAAATAGAAGAAAATAATCAAAACTTTAACTTAAATGAAGTAAACCAACTAGTTTTTCTCTCCTTAGCCATCCCTGTGGCTTCAACCAAACATATTTATCAATTTATTTGAGGGAATAGTAGCATGTCCTTTTCGTGCAGGATTTCTGGGATTTTTCTTCACAAGGATTGTGTCAGTGCATGTTAGCTTCATTTACATTAAAACCACTGCACGTTACGCTTCGGGTGGGAAATTGAGCTGTTGTACCTTTTTTTTTTCGGTGGTCAAGTTCTTGTAATTAAGGTTCTAGAGATAGTAGGAAATCTAGGTCCAAGTGAATTATACTTATATTTATATCGTCAACCAGCGTAAAACTTGAGCACAGTTCTGATGGTAAACAAAATTACTAAAAGCGATGTTCAGTAAACTAGAATATTGATATCCATGTTAATTAATACAAGAAGTGATGGATGTAGGGTGGGTTCTGCGTATTTGACAAAACTTTTATGTACACAAAAACATACAAACCCACAACGTGTGTCAGCGTAAAAAATAATTATAGAGAGAATTAGATATATATTTCACAATTTTAAAATATTATCAACTCAGAAGTCAGAAACCATGGTCTAAATTTTGGGTTCGGCTCCATTGGGACAGATACAGGAGATTTGATTTTGAAGTTCGTTACAAATATTTTATAGTTATATGACTTTTTTTGGAAGAGATCGATAAAAAATAATTTAAGAGATCTGTAAATAAAACATATAAAAAATTTATAGTGTCATTTTTCTAATTCAAATTGTAAATGAACATATGAGATGTTTTCCTTAACAAGAAACTGATTAAGCATATTACTCAATCTATCCATTGGCTTTTGTCCGGTAACAATTGATTAATGCCATTTTTGGTTTTGGTTGATTTTTGATTTAGGATGAAAAATGCATATTTTGAGTGTGTTTGTACGTTAATTCTTGTGTGAGTTGCAGGAGTTCACGTCGCTTTTGAAGTGAAAATATGCTCATTACGTGTTTCTTATGTGTAGGAACAAACTTATGCGGAAAATGATCAAATAGGAGAAAAATTGATGAAAAAAGAGCTGAAGAGAAAAGTTCCAGACAGCGAGGCGAGGTTCAATTCGCCAGACCGGGACCAGAGCAGAAGAAACCAGAAAAGTCCCGGATAGCGAAGCTAGGTTAACTTCGCTAGACTGGGACCGGAACAGGAAAAATCAGCTTTTCCAATCCGAATTAGGAGAAGAAAAATTCGCGTCATACAAACCCTAGTCACTATAAATATATCCTAAAACATGTTTTTGACGGAGAGACACTACTTTGGAGAGAGAGAGAGAAGACTTTTGAGAGGTAAGAACACGCTTGGAGCAAGGAGAAGGATTCAACTTCACGTTTTTTCTTCTTTCTTTCTATTTTTCCATTGATATGAATTCTAGTGTTGTATTTTAACATACTATCATGAATAGATAATTTTCTATCTAGGGTTTTGATGGAAACTTTTGGAGGATGATTCTTGTTCCGTTTTTATATAATTGAGCCTTTGAATTTCTCTACTTGTTTAACTACGTGCTTATTTCAGTTGATTGAAGAGCTCTCAATTGACTGTGCCTATTTATTATGTATTGCTTGGAAAAGGGTATATATTCAGGTAGTTATTGAACAACATCACTCCTAACATATATGAGGAATCAATACGAAGGGTTAAAATGTGGGATTAGGAATAAGGAAACCTTGATGCGATCTCAGTGAGCGGTGAATTAGTGCCATCTAGCGTAGTTCGGAAGAATATGTCTAGTAAATTGTGGTAGTTGCTCGGACGAGAATTACATCACCCGAAGTACTCACGATCGGTAAAGAATACTTAGGCGAATTTATAGAAGATGTAGTGGGAAGGATTTTGAAAATTGAGAAAATCATAACTCTAGGCCGCCTTAATCTTGTCTCCAACTCCGTAGTTGATAATTTTACTGCTTTCTAGTATTTGATATTAATTAGTTAGAAATATAAACCTCAACCTTTAAAATTTAGAAAATTATTCAAACTTGTCTTTTTAGTGATATTGAACAATTATAGCGAAACCTTTGTTCTCTGTGGGATTCGACTCCGGACTCTTAGACCGGATTATATTTGCAGCGACCGCTTATCCTTTTTAGGACTAGAGTTGGGTGTGATAAAATTTTGGCGCCGTTGCCGGGGAACTAACGCTGTAGATTTAGATGTACATATTCTACGTTTCAAGTTTGAACTTTTATTTTATTTTTTTAGTATTTGATATTTTGTATTTTTAGTTTTACTTGTTTATTTGAGAAACATAGCATCGTGAAATTATGGGAGTTTCAATGTTGGTAATTCTACTATTGATCTTCTTAATGCTTATTGTGGAGGAAACCACCCATGACAAAATTATCAAAATATTTTCGAGATCGAGTTATGTGCACCAACTCAATCATATGTGTGGAATGTGTGGTGGTCAAGATGGTCACTTTCATGGTTATGCTTATATTTCTTATCTTCCCGCAACCACTTACTTTTATGTTTTTTTTTTTTTGTGAAGTTAATATGAACAAAGAACTCAGGGATGATGACCTGAAAGAGATCAAGGGTATGCTAAGGTGCCTTGTGGAACAAAATAATGGGAAACAACTGTACATACAAAGGCAAGATGCTACTATTCGCAACCTAGAGGCACAAGTGAGTCAACTAGTTGAAGCATTTAATGCTCAACAAGCCAATATTGAGGATAGTAGTCAAGAAAAGCATGAATTAGATACTGAAATTGAGGTGCTAATGGAGGAGGTCAAAGTATAACACCAACAATCTATCCAACTAGAATTTGAGAATGCCGATGTTGAAAAAGTAATACTAGGTCAGCCAAGGACATTGAAGATACAAATTTAGTTGACTCTAGTGTGATTGGTATTGAGTAGGTCAAAAATCTTGAAGTTCATGTATTTGAGCGTGTTGTACCTCATTCCAAATACTTCTCTACATTATGTTCAGATAGTGAAATGAAAATTGATCCTTATGAGCATAAAAAGGAGCTAAGGGCAGAGGTCGACGCACCTTATATTTTGAAAATTTCAAGGCCATCTAGGCAAGGTGACACTCCTCGACCGAGAGCCAAAAAGTGTATGACAATTTATTTAAACTTTGGCTCCAAAAATTTGTATCACCCCAAATGCATAATCATAAGCTTGAATCAAAACTTGGGGTTCAATTCATAAGCATGGAGGCAAAAGTGATTCGTGTCGTGCCGCGGCATTAAATCAAGCGCTTGTTGGGAGGTAACCCAGCTTTACTGTTTTCTATTATTTTTATTTTTATTTTATTATTTATTTTTTATTATATTGTTATTGTAGTGTTGTTTTATTATTCTCTCTAGAAGCATGGAGAGCAAGATTATTGGAAGAAAGAAAAAGCAAGTGAGATGGTTAGAACGAAGTATGGGGTGCCCGCACAATGAACCAAGTCTGGGAGAAGTCTGAGTACCTCATGAGCTGCTAATGCATGGGCCTTTGGCCTACCAGGGAGTTTCTTTTACCCTATTGTATTTATGAGTGTGCATTGGGGACAATGCATAATTTTAAGTATGGGGTGAAGAGACTGTTTGGGTATTCCGGTGCTATTTTAGTTGTGTTATTGTATGTGTGTTGAAAAAAATCAAAAATAAAGAAATAATTAGGTAGAAATAATCCCTCTTGGTTTTTCTTATGGCCACGGTTCTTTTTCAAGGGATGACTCTTTGAACCGGGTAGTAATTTTTTTTGTAGGTAGAATTTTTATAGAGTTTTGAACTTTTTCCAACGATGGACTTCCTAGACAGTTTTCTCGAGGATTTAAAGTCCAACGAAAAACACAAATAGATTTTCATTATTTTTTTTCTTTTTGAATTTATAATTGAATGAGAAGAAACATGAGTAATAGGTGCTTTTGACATGTTTTATATCGGGGCTTAGGTCTGGAGCATTTGAACTAAGTACTTTCTTCATGGTCTTTGTAATTACATGCCTTAAATATGTGTGGCTTTCTTTTGACGCCAAGGCTCATCCCGTGACTCTTGTGATTAATTTTCGTGTGCTGAAATTCTATGATGACTGTGCTAGTTGCTTTAACTCGAGAGTCAGGTCTGAACCGTCCTAAGTGAGTCATGTGCATTGTGTGAGGTGAGATTTTAGTGTACTCTATGCCATCCTTGTTAGTATAGAATTTGCCCCGTGTGTGAGTCAAAGCGAAATTATTAAGTCTTGTAAGTTTGGGAAGTGATATAAGCTTTCTTTGATTGACCATTTAGCCAATTTGCCTACCAGTGCTAATATTATCCGCAGTTAACCCTTTTGAGCCTGTAGACTTTTTCTTTGGCAACCGCATTACAAGCCAAATCCCCTTTATTCTCAATCAATCTTGTTGAACCTTTACCTCCGAAAGCACTTAAGTAGCTATAAGAGTAAAGAAAGAGATTAGGTAGCTTTTGAGTGGAGCAATAGAAAGGCCGAAAATGTGCATTTGTGTACAAACAAAAAAAGGTACTAGACGAAAATATCAAATTAAGGAGAGTAAAAAAAATGAATAAATGAAGAAAATAATGAATAACACCTCTCATATATTTGTCTGGGCTAGTAAATATCTATATGTTGATGTGCTTAATGAAGAAGGGCTTAACATGTGTATGGTTTCACATGGTTCACGGCAAGACATTAAAGTGGTCAT